AACGAGCGGGCGCTGGTGCTCACACTTACGGTTTTTTAGTGTTTAAGGGTGGGGGCTCACTTTATGTTTGCTTGTGCCAGCTTGTTTGAAGTATTAACAACCTATGCTTCCTTTCTGGGAAACCACAAACGTTCTGCCATGCTGGGATGAGTTTTCCTTCCTCTGCTCACAAATCACAAGAACATTAGACCATACGAATTTGGTATTTTTGGTTTTTGTTTTGGCTGAGTGGGCAAAACTTAAAAAAGCAAAACAAAGCAAAACAAAAACAGGGTCCTCGATGACCCTTCAGTCCAACCCTCTATTTCCGTAAGAGATTTGCTCAACCCTGAAATGTGGGAACAGCGGTGGAGAAACCATGGAAACTGCGATTTAGAGAACAAGGTATAATATACACGCTCTACATGAGGTCTGAGAGCCAGGCTTTTGTCTGTTATGGTCACTGCTGTATTCCTAATCTCTAGAATGTGCAATAAATACTTGTTGAATGAATAAATGAAAGGAAGCTGTAGGGCAAAGAAAAGATGCCTCAAAGGGCCCCATAAATATGGCTCTTACAGAGCTGAGCTTTGGGAGCTGTGGGCTAAGATTCATTGGTGAGTCATGAAATCAATTTAGTTTGAGCAGCACTGTTTTGGAAAGAATGGAATGGAACAGAATAGGAAATTATCTTAGTAAGGGGAATTATAGTTTTGTGAAATTTCTGTTTCCGGCACACATCCAGGATTACAATGTAAAATACATTTATTACTGGTTTAAAGAAAAAAATTGGAGGAAAAACGTTTGCCTGGGGACATTAAAAAGCAGGTTCCCAGGCTCAAGACGTGACTTCTTGGATCAGAATCTCAGGAATTTTGCACTTTGAACAAGTTCCTTCAGGGATATCAGCAGACATTAAACTTCAGAGTCTCCACTCTGAGAACCATTGCTGGGTCTGGAATGTCAAGCAGTTTAACAGCCATGGAAAAGCTAATCAACAAATTAGTTGAACAGTGTTTTCATGGCCCTCTTGTTTGTGGGGGCTGGGGGGTGGGGAGAAAAGGGACCAAGACAGGCATTTAATGACCACGACGAATAAAATACAGTTGGAGAAAAAGAAGATAGCAGGAGGGGAAGAATGAAGGGGAGTAAGTCGGAGGGGGAGACGAACCATGAGAGACGATGGACTCTGAAAAACAAACTGAGGGTTCTAGAGGGGAGGGGGGTGGGGGGATGGGTTAGCCTGGTGATGGGTATTAAAGAGGGCACGTATTGAATGGAGCACTGGATGTTATGCACGAACAGTGAATCATGGAACACTGCATCCAAAACTAATGATGTAATGTATGGTGATTCACATAACAATAAAAAAATAAAAAATAAAATAAAGTAAAATACAGTTGGCCTCTTTGTGCCTATTAACCTCACGACTAGGCCACTTACTGCCAACTCCTTCCATACACTCACCCCCGAGGGCCACACAGACCTGTCCTCATACGGGTTTGCCACAGTTTTTAACTTCCAAAATAAAACGATGACAGGGATTTAGTCACCAGATGTGTGTGTCTGGCATGGGGCCTGCAGGGAGACTGCTGAGCGAAGAACCAGGAAAAGCTCACAGCCCAAGGCCCCTGTCATCAGATCGCTACATAAAGCAGGTGTGGCCTCTTCTACCCTAATCCTGGCAGAGCTCTTAGCCACCTGTCTTGACAACTGCAGACAAGACTCCCCGGAACGATGATCCAGATACACTGGAGGCCCAGGCTCCTGGGGGCCCACCGGGATTCCTCTAGCCCAGCTGTCCCTTCCCGTGCGTCAGTGAATCTACCTCCCCACACCCCACGCCAATTAACCAATCCATGTTGTGTGTAATATCATGCACATGCGATGCATACGATTAGTTTCCTTCTCTGCCTCTCTCTTAGGTAGTAATAAACATAAAAACTTTTTTTTTCCCCTCTTCTCACTTCAGACATATATATTTGAGGGCAATTTTAATCTAGACTCACTGACTGGACCATTTCCAGATCTTTCTCTCTTTCTGCAGAGGCTCCACTTGTGCTGAGAGAGACTGTCCACCTCTACTGGGAATCACCCGGAAGTCCTTCTGCACCTGGGAAGCCGCACCTGCCTCAATTTGGCACAAGGGGTTCCCTTCCGCTGGCCTCCTAGAACACTTACCACCTGAACTGCTCATCGGATGCTAGTGTTTCAGCTGCCATCTTTTGCTGTGAGCTTAGTATTATCTTTTCTCCTCAACTTGACTAGCAATTTCCTGCAAGCCGGCAACCATACCTTCCTCTTCTGTAGTGCCTTGCTTAAAAAATGACTTTTTTATTTATACAGCTCTCTCTGGGTTTGACTGTGGAAGGACACACAGGAATCACGCTCAACGTTTAAAAGTAATCGGCACTGGGGCGCCTGGGTGGCTCAGTTGGTTAAGCGACTGCCTTCGGCTCAGGTCATGATCCTGGAGTCCCGGGATGGAGTCACGCGTCGGGCTCCCTGCTCAGCGGGGAGTCTGCTTCTCCCTCTGACCGTCTTCCCTCTCATGCTCTCTATCTCTCATTCTCTCTCTCTCAAATAAATAAATAAAATCTTAAAAAAAATAAAAAAATGAAAGCAATCGGCACTGGACAAATTAATCAAAACCTGCTCATCTTAGCAGAAAGTGTCTTTCACCATATTTGGTTGGTCAAGCACCAAATTGCTAGTGCTGCACTTGAGACACTAAAAATAACATTAACATGAAATTTTGAGAAAAAAAAAATTCTACACTAACAAGGTCCGGCTAATAGGATTAAGGACAAAAGGAAAAGTGAAGTGGTTCAAAATGAGTGTCAGAAATTTCGACCAAATTAACTGGGGTTACTTATCACATGCTACGCGCACGCTGCATGCTAAGAGTTTTATGTGCACTCTTTCACCTAATCTTCACACCAACCTATGAAGTGAGTATTATTATTCCATTTCACAAAGAAACAAAGGCACAGAGAGCTCAAATAACTTCCCGAGGTTGGTAAACAGCAGAATTAGGATGTAAAGTCAGATCTGTCTGACTTCACAATCCCTTATTGCCTTTCTAATTAATTCACCCCTTCCTGATGTAGATTTCTAGACCATAATCTGTAGGTTCTCTTTCCTAATGAAAGTCAAAACCCCAAAACAACAGATTTTTTTATTTTTTTAAGCAGAGCAACCAACCAACCCTTCTTCAAAGAAAGTCAGATGGGAGCACACTTATCACCATTCCCACACCTCTTAATAAATCTCTAAACTTCTACCCCTGACCCCTCCCCCCCAGTTTAATCCGAACACATCAGTGCGTCCTTTTATTTTTTTTAAAAGATTTTATTTATTCATTTGAGACACAGAGATAGAAAGAGAGAGCATGAGCAGGGGGAGAAGCATAGGGAGAGGGAGAAGCAGGCTCCCCTCTGAGCCAGGAGCCCGATATGGGGCTCGATCCCAGGGTGCTGGGATCAAGACCCAAGCTGAAGGCAGATGCTTAACCATTTGAGCCACCCAGGCGCCCCTCAGTGTGTCCTTTTAAAAGATCATATCACAAGTATGTTCAACACCACCTCTAGCCCTATCTCCCCCTACTCTCCCCTTTGCTCATTCTACATATGGCTTCCTTCTTCCTTAAGCAAACATGACATGCTTCTGCCCCAGGGTTTTTGCACTGACTTTGTCCTCTGCTTGGAGCCCTCTTCAAGATATTTGCATGGCACATTCCTCACACTTCCTTTATGCCTTTGCTTAAAAAGCTCATGTCTAAGTGAGGCTTTCCTGCAATACTCCATTTAAAGTTGCAATCCATCTTCCCACCCCAGGACTTCCAATCCCTCTTGCCTTGTTCTATATTTGACTCTGGCCACAACATTTATCATCTTCTAACACACTACATTTATTATGTAGTTTATTATGTTCATTGCATCTACTCTCTTGAACAGAAATTTTATGAGGGCAGGAATCTTTATTATGTTCATTGCATCTACTCTCTCGAACAGAAATTTTACGAGGGCAGGAATGTTTAGGTTTTGTTTGCTGCCTTATCCCCAACACCTAAAACAATGCTCCCCACATAGCATGTGCTCAGCAAATATTTGTGGGATTGTTTTAAATGACTTACTGGCAAGAAAAACCGGTAACCCCAAGTCACTGCACTGTGTTTACCCTATGGCTTTTTGTACCCTTGGGGTTCTGCGCCACTCTGGGAGGCACTCATTGACCTGTTTGAGAAGCCTGGGGATGGGGAGCTATCAAAGAGAGAAATGATATGGTGAGTTCTACATTTCAGACCGTCCGCTCTAGCTCTGGGGGTGGATCTGTGGAGGATAGGACTGGAATTATGAGTCCATTCCAATATTCAGGCAAGAGATAGTGAGAGTTTGAAAAACATCTAGGAGACAAGAGGGAAAGATTCAATGATTGGTTGGATGCTGGAGGATGGTGGGAAGGGACTGACCCTCAGGTTTCTGGTTGGGTGACTGACTGAACAGATAATGCTGCCAGCAATGGAGACAGAGCATACCAGAAAAATCCCACTTGGGAGGTCCCTGGGGATATAAGTCCCTACACTCAGTTTAACATTCACTTTATTAGTCCTTTGACAAATAACTAAAGCAATTATGGCAACAAACTCAATCAAGGTTATAGATCAGCAGAATATAAACAACAACAACAACAAAATCCTACGAGATTATTGCTTATGTCCCCATTTATCAGTGGCACTGAGCTGGCCTTTGTACATGCAACTTCCCTTCAAAGGAAAGAGGCAGGAATGTCTTCTGGGTTAAAATTTCACATGGGTTAAAAGTCAATTGTGCACCTGAAAATATATACCTACCAAGATTCCTGTAGATTTCAGTGACCAGTTGTCCCATTTCTTTGAAAAACGACTTCAGAAGTAGACAATTTTAAAAGCGTGCCATCCTAAAGATCGCTAAACAAAGATTACTAATAAAATACTTCAATCCGCCTCTTATGTGACCGACAGTTTTACCCTCATACCTTACCTGGAAAGTTGTCTCGATTTAGCTTAGGTCTGCGGACTATCACAAAGTCCTTGTCATTCCCCTTGCTTTTCAGCCGTTTTCGGGGAGGGCTCTGAGGGTGGGCCAGGTTTGAGAGCAGTTCCTGGGGGATATTCTCACTGTCCACCTCCTCCTTCTCCAGGGCAGAGACCCCCATGCCCGACAGCAGTTCAGATGTCTTGCTAGAATCCCATCCCCACGTGAAGCTGGTGGTAACGTTGCTACTCTGGTCGGGAATCTCCTGGAGGTGTTTCCTGCAGAAATGCACAACAGCCCCTGCTGCTTTCAAAAACACACCCGTGAATAATTCAAAGATAGGCCTAAATGAAACTGCAAGTTATGCAATGCAGAGAACTTTCAGTGTCTCATAGAATTGCTTTTAAATGCCGGCGGCAAGTTTCTAAGAAGGAAAGAGAAAATAACAGAAACCTTTTTGATTTACGATCACGGAGAAGGCCTCAAGAATGTCTTAAAGTGGAGGGAACAGACAAGCGGGAGAGCACAACGATGGAAAACAGTAGCAGGAAAGCTCAATAAGGGAAGGCAAATAACACCGCACGCTGATCACCGCACTAAAGCATCCAGCCATCCACTCTTTCCCAAAGAAGGAGCTAAGCAAGTATTCACTTTACAGCATTTGTAACAATATTAGCAAGTAGCAATATTCGCGGCCTAAAAGAACTGAGACCGTTCATTCACTCTCTGCCCCCTTTTGCAATCGGGTTACCTGTGCATGGCGTCCACGGGTTCTGGAGTTTTAAATGCGTGCATTAATTGCAGAACTGCCCGCCTCCGGGATTCCCGCTTTGGCGCGCGGCGGCTCACGGCCTGCGGCTCCGACCCCCAGCAGCTAGACCCGCGAACTCTAGCAACGTTCCATCCTCGCCGCGCGCGCAGGGCTCTTCTACTCGCTGTCCTCCGCCGAGGCCGTCTGCGGCCCCGCGGCCTGCTGGGAACTGTAGTTTCTGCTGTGCCTCGTAGTCTGGCCGGCTCTCGGATACTTCCTTCCTTGCTCCTTTACCCGCCTTCGAGATACCCACAACTCCCCGCGGCTCGGGGCTGGGCTACCCACGGGGTAGGCGGGGAAGCGGAAGTGGGCGGTGCTCCGGCTGGCTGGGAAATGTCAGCCGCTTGACTGGGGACGGGTTTTCCTTACCCCAGAGCCTGCAGGCCTTTTAGTGATCGTCACCGCCGTCGCCTCGGACCGTAGGTCCCAGATCCTGGACGGTTGTGGCGGACGCGGAGTTTCCCGGTCCTTGCAGGCGCTGTCTGGCAAGATCGGACGGTGAGCCTGATGGGGAGAGCCTGAGGCACTTTGGGGTCTGGGGTCTGAGGCCGAGCGCAGGCGGAGATCGAGAGGACCTCGGAGACCCCGAGCAGCAGCGACCGCGGGCCTACGTTCCCGGCCACTGATAGGCGGTAGCCAGGTCCGCCGGCCAGGTGAGCGGTTGGGGGCCGCGGGCGTCACACTTGCTCTTCCCTCCGCCGGGAAGCTGCTTCCTCCATCCGGGAGAGAGTTGACCCTTAGCCCTGGGTCTGTGCACACGATCCTTTCCTCAACAGTAAAATAGGCACTACGGCTTCGAGGCTTATCTCGAGAACACGCTTGGCGGTGAGGGTCAAGTCAGATAACCCTCGTGAAAGCGTTTTGTAAACTAAAGCGCAGTTCGAACGAGAGGCGGTGGTTTAATTTTAGGGGAGCAGGAGAACACAGTGGTTCCTGTGTGCGGTGGGAAAGCTGCGCATCCCCTTGCAGCCTTGACGAGTTTCAGAAATGCCAGCACGGGAACAAATAAGGTGACTATATGTTTGCAAAGGGCTTTTTAGCGCACCGCTAGGGGCCACCAGCGAAGCCATTCGGTCGCTCGCGTTCAACCGGCCACGTCTGGTTGCGTCGCCGTGTAAAAGCGGGCTGCCCTCAGCCTATGTCCGCCGAGAAGAGTTCGGAGGCGGTTAGAGGAGGGAATGTACCATATTCTAAGGTAGGATGACCATGCGAAATCCATTGTGCACACTACACCATGACTGTGACCCCTGGAAAACAGTGGAAGAGAGAAGGGGAATAAATTCCAACCCCCATAAAAATGCAGAGGATTTATAAAGTTCAGAAGTAAGCAGACGAAAATATTAGAGTATTACTTCGGTATGCAGTATGACATACCTTAAAAAATAGTATGACATACCATTAAAAAAACGATTCGCTTTGTGCTGGAATCAAACCTCCCTTGCCCGGGTATGTGCTGGTTTCAGGCTTGGTGCTTAGCCTGAAAAGTGACCACTTCTTGATTAAGGTATTCACGAATCTTTAGTTCTTTCTTGAAAATAAGTGAAATTGCTGTAAAGAAGGGATATGCTCAAAAGTTGATTTAAACTAGATGAAAATACTAGGCTGAATGTTCACAATTCATTAAACTGATGTTATGGAAAATACTGTTAAATGCAGTATTCTGATTTTTTTTGCATAAAGTTACCTTTATGTTACTTTGGCTGAGGAGAAAGCAGTTGCCTTCCTTTGAAATCTCCATCCTTTTCCTTAAAATTGCAGCTCATTAGAGAACATAATTTTATATTTAAAAAAAGTTATAGTCTCTTTCAAGAAAGTAAAACAGAGGGAGTGTATACACTAATGGAGGAGAAAGAAACAAGGAAAAATATTTTAAATGCCATGATGAGAGTAAACAAAGTTTTGAGATATAAAGTAGATCTTATAGATAGGAAGGTCTAATGGGATGATTTTAAATTTAAAGATGAGAAATATCCTGGTAGTAGGATTTAGCAAGTAGTTTCCTAGGAGCCAGGGAACATTTCTAGTTCTTAGAATACTTGAAATCGCTGAATTGGTGGACAGGAGGCCCTCTATAGAATTTCAAAGAAAGCCTGTCAACTTTGAAAATCAGTCTTCAAATTCTAGAATAGGTATTTTACTAACAGTTTGCCCAGGTAACAAAAATACTTCAGCTTGCTGAAATAATCGGTTTTTTTTTTTCTGCATTATTCTAATTATGGGTGTTCGTTCTCTTTATATGGTAAATAAAAGTTTAAATTGGTACATGGGAGTCTGTTTGATATAAGGAATTGTGTCTATTGAAGAGATGAGATTATCAGCTACATAGATAACGCAGTCTGGTTTCTTTCAAGAATTACACTGTGATTGCTACTGATATGGATTATTTTTTTTTCCTGGTTAATTTTATTTATTTAATCTTGCTCAGCATACCCATGTCCCATTTTAGTGAGAGGTGTAACTAAATTTCTAAAACTAGAATTACTAGATCAGTACCTAGGACAAATGAATTACAATTTTTTTTTATCTCTGCAAATGACATTAGAGTGAGTAATTTTTCGTGCTCTTTAGAAGCTTGAGGTAGAATACAAAGGGACTTTGTAAATTGGGAAAGTGTTTTATTGTAAAAGAGACAAGATGGTCAACATTGTGAGGGCACAGGAGGGGCAAAAAAGGACTGGAAACTACATTTCACTGTAAGCTATGTGTATATTCAGTAGTATATTAGCGTTCTTTTTGAAAATCAAATATGACAAAAGAGATTGTTTTTAAATAGATGAGTGATGTGCTTTTTTTCTTAGTTCCATCAAAGCATGAAATAAATCTTAAAGATTTCTTTAGGTTTTTTTTTTTTTAATGTTATTTAGCTTGGGGGAACAAAAGACCAAGAATGATTATATAGCAAGAAGTTTCTACCTGCCAATCAAATTTCAAAAGGATGCTTTCCCTCCATTATTTTTAAAGTAGATCTTTAGATCTCTGTAGTTTAATGCTGTCTGTGATGGACAGATTGGAGCGAGAACAGAAGGGTTCTTTCCCTATTCTAATTTGCTCTATGTTTTCTTTTCTACCTTTCCCATGTAAATTAGAGCCTTAAGTAATATAGTAGTCTTACCTGGCAGGTGAAAAGACTTCGCTAAATTCTGTATTAAATGTGACTTTTTTAGCATTCTATCTTGATATATCTAAAGGAATAATTAATAGAATGTTTCTAATTTGTTCACTGTAAAAACCGGACAAAAGAAATTATTTAAACAATTTAAATTGCATTAAGAAAGTATGTCTGGATTTGAAAAAAGACTGTGTAGTATCCCAATTATAGTTAGGATGAATAGGTTTGAATCCCAGCTTTGCCACTCACTGGCTGTGTAGGAATGTGGACAAACTTCTGGCTCTCTCTCTACCTTTTTCTCCTCTATTAAACAAGGATACTAATAGTCCTTTCTTACTGGTTTTGCGGTCTAATCTGATAAAGTATGTTAAGTGCTAGCATAATGCTTGGAATCTAGTAAACTCATACTAAATGTTACCTCTTCTTTTTTTAAAAAGTATTTTATTAAGAAGGATTCTAAGGATTATTCTTTAATTACCAAAATAAATCTTATAATCTCTTTACGAGAAATCTTTAAGAATTCATTACAATTCCAGTTGTTTTCTTCTTACTTGCTTACATGGTTGCTCCCTTTTCTCTCTCATGTCTTACCAAAGGTTAAGCACTTTGTACATGTCTGTCTTCAGAAGGGCTTGTCACACTTTGGAATTCAGTTTACCTGGTTGGTTTAGCAACTCAGCTCATTTTTTGAAAATGGCTTCAAAAAATATTACAACTATTTTGTATTTTTAGAGTAGGAGCCACACTGTCTTGGGGTATTCTGTGTATATCCTAAGCTGAATCTTCCCTATACCTGGAATCTTTAAACGGAATAATGGTGGTTATATTTGGAAGATTTAACTTTTTATTGGTAGTAGAGAATTGTTGACTTTCACAACACTCACGTGTAGTTCTGATACATTCAATTTTTCATTATTAAGATCTTGAGTTGACTCCTAGTTTCTATTATTTCACGTATCTGAATAAAGATACGTACTTAAGTTAGCATAGTCCAAGTCTGATGCATCATTAGGTTCTGGCTAGAAATTTTTCATTCAGCTTCAGAATCTTAGGTTTGGACAGAATTTTTGTCTGCGTTCTCTTCAGTTGCTACCACAAATCTTTCCTTTCATCCTTCTTGTCTTTTCCTTCTCTTTCTCTTTCTTTTTGAAGATATTTGGGGGATGCTTCAAGTTCCAAAATTATCTTAACCTGTAAGTTTTCCACTTAAAGTGTGTTTAGCCTAAAAAACCCACTATAAACCATAAAGTACTTGGGAAACAGTACCCCAAGTCAGTAACATTAACAAGCTAATTATGAAAGGCATTTGAAAGACATTGTACGGTATCTTAATAATTGATATGGAACTAAATTGGATTTTAAGTGTTCAAAGACTTTCAGAACTGGTATTTTGAAAGGTAGACCATGTCTGGATATCAAGCACTAAAATTAGAACAAATGAACTGGCATTTTGATTTTGAGTAAAATCTACTTTTGCTGCTGTGGTGTTAATGCCAACCTATGATAGCTTTGAATTTCTCTTTCAATTTCTAATCACACAGAACTGAATTTTGATTTGCCTCCAAATTTTTGCATATTCTTCTTTCATTTTTGCCAGTTAGCCTAAACACCTTATTTTAATATTTGAGGAATATTGCTAGAAGGACCACTTTTGTGGCCAGAGGCATATTTCCTCTTTTGCCCTTGAGTATATTTTTGCACGGCTGTACATGGTTGCAGGTCAGCAAATGATCCATTTTAATCCACCTCCATTTTGATCACGTGCCTAGAAGAATGGCATTGTCTTTCTATATGACATTGGTGTATCTAATACACCTTCTTGACATGGCTCTGAGATGTGTTCTCCCACTTTACAACAGAGCGTTGAAGGGGTGTTTGGGCTACCTTGTAGACCTAGAGAGGTAATCCCAATTTGTCGAGAGAGGCAAAGGGAGCAATTTCTTGGAGCAAACATCATTTTTTGTTTTATAAGAATCGGGGTGGGCCCAGGCTGTGGTAACCACAGAGAATGAGAAGCAAAAAGCATTTG